CCTCCAACGGGACAGGACACAGGGTTGGCAGGACCCCCGGCAGGAGAGTAGTCGGCGGGGCTCTCCAACGGCACAGGACATAGGATTGGCAGGACCCCCGGCAGGAGAGTAGACGGCGGGACCTCCAACGAGACAGGACAAGGAGCTGGCAGGACCCCCGGCAGGAGAGTAGACGGCGGGACCTCCAACGAGACAGGACAAGGAGCTGGCAGGACCCCCGGCAGGAGAGTAGACGGCGGGACCTCCAACGGGACAGACATACGATTGGTAGGACCCCCCGGCAGAGGAGTAGTCGACGGGGCCTCCAACGGGACAGGACATGGAGTTGGCAGGACCCCCAGCGGTACCTCCAACGGACCAGGACATTGGGTAGGGACTTGAGACGTGATTCGAGAGGGGACTCGAGAGGGGAACCAAGGGGGAACTCGAGAGGAGACTCGAGAGGGGAACTAGAGAGGGGACACCAGAGGGGACTAGAGGAGAGACTAGAGGAGGGACTAGAGGAGGAACTAGAGAAGGGAACTCGAGAGGGGAACTAGAGAGGGGACTTGAGGAGGGACTAAAGGAGGGACTAGAGGAGGGAACTGGAGAGGGGACTCGAGAGGGGACTGGAGAGGGAACTCGAGAAGTGACTAGAGGAGGGACTAGAGATGGGAGTAGGGAATTGACTAGAGGAGGGACTCGGGAAGGGACCAGAGAGGGGACTAGAGAAATGACTAGAGGAGGGACTTGAGAAGGGACTCGAGAGGGAACTGGAGAGGGGACTCGAGAGGGAACTAGAGAAGGGACTAGAGAAGGGACTAGAGAAGGGACCAGAGGAGGGACTAGAGAGGTGACTAAAGGGGGAACTGGAGAAGGGACTAGGGAAGTGATTAGAGGAGGTACTTGAGAAAGGACTTGAGAAAGGAATTGAGTAGGGACTAGAGAAGGGACTAGGAAAGTGACCTGAGGAGGGACTAGGGAAGGGACTAGAGAAGAGACTAGAGAACGGACTAGAGAAGAGACTAGAGAAGGGCTCGGGAAGGGACCAGAGGAGGGACTAGAGAGGGGACTAGAGAGGTGACTAAAGGAGGGACTGGAGAAGGGACTAGGGAAGTGACTAGAGGAGGGACTTGAGAAAGGACTTGAGAAAGGACTTGAGAAAGGAATTGAGTAGGGACTAGAGAAGGGACTAGGGTTGGTACTGGAGAAGGGACTAGAGAAGGGACTAGGAAAGTGACCTGAGGAGGGACTAGGGAAGGGACTAGAGAAGGGACTATGGCAGCTGGGGCCGGGACTGGGTCTGGAACCATGGCTGCTGGGGCCGGGACTGGGGGCCGGGACCATGGCTGCTGGGGCCAGAACTGGGGCTGAAACCATGGCTGCTGGGGCCTGTACTAGGTCTGGAACCATGGCCGGAAACATGGCTGCTGGGGCCTGTACTGGGGCTGTAACCGTGGCTGCTGGGGGCTGAACTGGTTCTGGAACCCTGGCCCTTTGGGCTCGTGCTGCCAACCTGGCCTTGCGACTCCTTCCTTTAGGAGCCGTTTGGAGGCTCCGTGGACCTCCAAAGGCCAGACGAGTACCAGCGAATGGCTCCTGGACTGTAGCAAACACTGGGTGAGAAGCAGGGGCTGACGCCAGACGGACCACACCGATGCGTGTGGTATCAAAACGGGAGTTGGGAGGCCTGGGGCTGTCAGGCAGGGGATAACACACCGTGAGAAAATCCAAAATCCTGCCCGATAAGAATTTAACCAAGCCTGGCTTCTCCATAGTAATCCGGCGTGCCTCTGCCAGAACAGCCTCTCGCTGCTGAACCCTGGACGCTCCCAACCATCGATACGAGCAGTCATCCAAAGCAAAGGAAAACTCCAATAGCTCCTGCTCAAAAGGATCTGCTGGGCCCATATTCAGGTCGGGTTGTAATGTTACGGTGTGTGTAGGAAGCAGGACCCAAATGCAGATTAAGTGACAAAAATAGTTCCTTTATTTCAAGGCTATATATACGTACAGACAGAACAGGACACTCACCGAAGACCACGTCAATACACAAGACAACCCGACAAAGAGAGACAGAAAACCCAGAACTTAAATACACCCAGGACTAATCAAACAAACACGAGACAGGTGAGGAGGGAGGAGAAAACACAGCGGCACCAGGTGAACACAATCGGGTAATCAGGGAGGGAAACAGACAAAAAGCAACAGGCAGGAAACGGGGGTGAACACTTTACAAAATAACACAGGAAACCAAAGATAGAAAAAGACAAGACAAAACAACAACACAGACAGATCCTAACAATTTCAAGTCCAATCCAATCAATTAATCTCAAACATCAAACATTAATGAAGGGGAATTCATCTTGTTTGATGCTCGCTAATCCATTGATGTCATTAGCTTCCTATTAACTGGGTGTGATTTCTAGTTACAGTGAAATTGCATTGTGTCATTTTCCATATTTTTCTTCCCAAGCTCTTATTTGCAGTCGTAAGGTCATTATCTGTACCAAACTTCACCTTTGTCATTTCGAAAATGAATTATCCACCCTCCCTGTCGTCTTCCAATTACATTTCTCATTCAGGCTGGATTTCATGGTCACTTCACGATCGCACACATGTGTCTATTCTCTCCTTCCTTCGTCTAACCACCCTTTTTGGACTGTCATGAAAGCTATAGGTTCATGTGGGTGCCAAGTCCTGTGTGGTGTTTTTTTTTTATGAATATGCATGTGTCTGTGTTACTGACTGGTAGCATACCATGAGATAATGAGTCATAATGATATAAATCATTATACCTCTGATAAATGAGATAATCTACCACAGTGTGACGACTATGGGGGGTTAGGCAGCTGCCACCGGAGTAATTAACACAAAAGTTTGGTGTGTGTGTGTGTATAGTGTGCTTCTGCGACCTTGAAGACAACTCTTGCGTGGGTGGAAGGTGATTGATATGTGTTCTAGATTCCTAATTGACCCCTTGGCTTTCTTCACTTTCGACACCTATCTCTCATTCTTTTTTTTCTCCTTCTACTCAACTTACTTTAAACCCGCAAACTATTACTCAAGTCCTTCTACTGTCATTGCCATACACACCTGTTAACTATTTTTCACAATAAAAGGGCAATATTATAAGTATATATTTATATAGTTCAATATTATCAGCCTTGTAAGGTTGTTGGTTATGATCATTACTTTTTGTAAACAATTATTATGTTGGAAATATTCACATTTTCCTCAGAAATATTTAAAAGATATTAATATAAATCCCAAATCTAGAGAACTTAATTTACACAATATTCACATAACATCCACCAAATATGTACTTCGACAGCCTACGACATTTTGGAACATTTCAGAAAAGAGCCAACATCTTCTCCTGAACACAATAAAACACAACCTCTTTTGAAGGCAGTTTATCTGAAATGTTATCATAACACTCACCCCTATTCTATTCACTAAACATAAAGTGCACGCACTCGCACAAACTCACAAAGCCCTACCATTAGCATCAGAATGTCCCAAAAAAATGAATCGCCCTCCATTCAAGTTACAAACACATTAAGTTTGAACTCCTAATAGCCTGTGTGATGGATGCCGGTGCATAATGAGCTCTTTATGAGAGTTAATACCTACTGTTAATCAATGGACATAGTGGGGCACTTTTCAATACTACCTTCTAAGCATTTTGAAATGAGCCCTCATTGAATAGATTGATTCACATTTTGTTTCCTCCTCTCTCCTATGTTTTTCCTGCCTCATTCTAACTCCGTCCCAGCATGCAATTAGTTACATCACATATTGAATCAAATGGTGCCCATTCTTTAGAAATGCCCCGCTCTGACATCAATAAACACTGTGTCGAGACTGAGAGATATTTTGATGAAAATGCAATGCTACGCTGTAATGCAGTGGGTGGACCAGACTTTCCTCGGCCCGAAGCAATAGAAACATGGGTAACCTATTTATTACCATCAATATCCCATGCAGGCAGCTGCTGGAAGCATTCCTGTCAATTACTACTGGTTGTTGTATTGTTGTACTTTGATCTTTAGCTGCTAATGTAATGCGTTGCTCAAGGCCGCCGCGCTAGTATCATGCTGTATTAGCATCATAATCATGTATAATCTGCATCCACAAGTATAACATTTGAATGGATTAGAATTGGGCGGGATGTGATGCAACAGCAGTGGACAGATGAGGCATATAGAAGATATATGTGTGTAGCTGTGTACAAGGAGTATACACAAGCTGAGTCAGGACCGGGTAATGCTTTTATCTCAGCACAGGTACCTCCACCTGTAATGTACACGTGCTATTGAACGTGTTTGTTTCTGTGTTGTGTGTGTTTGGGTGTATGTGCGTCTGGCTGTGTTTGATTATCCCTTCCAGCCTCTAAGGGAGCGGGATTCATTCTCACTCTGATAATGAGGGAGAGACTAGCAATGCCCTCAAGTCATTTCTCTACTTCTTCCATCCTTCCTGTTGCATCCGGCTGCTTTTCCTTCTTAGTTTCCTGCTCTTTACCTTTCTCCAGCGTTGATAATCTGCCATCACTCTTCCCATCATTCCATCCTTCTTTCCTCTCGGATTTCCTCCCACTTTCTCCATTCTCTGCTTTTTCTTGTCATCGTCTTTGCCCACTTGTGTGTGTCTGTAGTCATGCGTGGCTGACATCCGTTTAAGATGATTGGATGGCGTTTGTGTCGTAGATTTCAAATGTATGCTGACCATTTTTCCTCAGCCCGGTCGATGGTCGACTATCTCTGTGGACCACAGCACTGGCAGCTCTGTTTCTCCCCACAATAGCCTTACTTATCCCGCATCAATACTCCGATGTGATGTATATTTGCCTGGTTGCTCAAATGTCCACTCGCTGCGCTCCCTCTTACCTAACTTTCTCTGTAGATTCTCCGGGGAGTGCAAAGCAAGAGTGAGTCACAGCAGTGCATCCATTAATTTTGTACCAACCTCTTTGCTTTCTTTTCCACTCTCTCCCTCTCTCTTTCTCTGTTTTCCAGGTGACTGAAGTGGAGATTGACATTACGGAGGCCCGCTAGGAGGCCCCTCCATCTCCCCCACCACCTCCTCCTCTTCCTTCACTTCCATCTCTTCTCCTTGCATCCCTACCCCCAACTAAACCTCAACATGGATCTGAAGGATCGGAGGAACCGCTCCCTGACCAGGGGTCGCTGCTCCAAAGACTCCCAGTACAACACCTCGTCGCTGGACACAGATGAGTGCCGTGTGCCTACCCAGAAGTCCTACAGCTCCAGCGAGACGCTCAAGGCCTTCGACCATGAGCAGAGGCTGCACTATGGCGGCTGTGTGACTGATCTTGTCCACCACGAGGCTGATGAGTACTCCAGGCAAGGTGAGTTTGAGGAGCAAAGCATTCCCTTCAAATGCTTTATTACACTGTGATTGTGGGCTTGATCCATACTGTGCTGGACTGGTGACATTAAACAGGAAATCAAGTTCATCTTATGACTAAATTCAAACATGTTGGAAAATATGCTTAGGCTTCTTGCTAAGAGTGAGATGAAAAAGGTGATTTAACTGCACATACGCTTACTATACAGCCAAAGTCATTAGCTGGTTAGCTTAACTTAGCCATAACCCTAACTCTTCCACTACATGTTATATCTTGTTAGTTTAATTCATACAACATTTTATGTTGATTTATGGGTTCTGTGCAGATGTTGTTTTTAAAATGTTGTATGGATTAGAAACGGGCAATATAACAGCTGATTTATTTTTAATATACTTTTATTTTAATGATGCCAGGCTAGGTGTTTCCCCCTTGCTTCCGGTCTGTGTGCTAAGCTAGCAGTTCTAGCTAAACTAACAATGTGCTTTTGTTAGCACACACAAGAGGGGTATCAATCTTTTAATTTCCCTGTTATTAAGAAACCCAATAAAAAGATTTAGCCAAAAATTAGGTATAGAAAAGATGTGTTTGAAGTTTTAAATATCTTATTTCAGTTTCCAGGTTTATAAATAAACTTTTCGATGTGACAGATAATGAAGGCTGCCCCAATTGCAACTAAAAAACAAAAAACTCAAGGAAGACAATTTCCTTTACCAATTTACCAATGATCTCAGTAGCTCCAGTAGGTAAGTCTTGTTTCTGTCCAGCACGTATGATGAAGCCGAGCATAGCTCAACACTTGTAGCCCTTCCAACCCTGTTCATTGATTCCTAAACATCTACATTCACACATTTATCAGCCATATTGTATATTGTACATGTATAGCTTTTTCAGGTGTATACTGTATACTTTTAAATGATGTGTGTTTCGAAGCCTTGGTGTCGAACTGTTAATGTAATCATTTGTTGTAAATGCTGCACTTTGCAGCAAAGAACCAATACAGACCTTTAGCACTGGAAAGCCTGTCATAATGAACTTCTGTATCCCCTGGGGAGCAAGTTAGCCAATAGGCCGATAGGTCAACTCTAAAGGGGTGGGTCTGTTCTCATAGGCATGTCTTTAAACTGCTTGTGTGTGTGTGTGTGTGTGTGTGTGTGTGTGTGTGTGTGTGTGTGTGTGTGTGTGTGTGTGTGTGTGTGTGTGTGTGTGTGTGTGTGTGTGTGTGTGTGTGTGTGTGTGTGTGTGTGTGTGTGTGTGTGTGTGTGTGTGTGTGTGTGTGTGTGTGTGTGTGTGTGTGCACACGTGGATATTGCAGGGGGACATGAAACAGGCATTATTGATCCCTGGCTGGTGAAAGGAGTCCGACTCAATGGGATTGATCTGGGCTAAGCTCTGTTTTCTCTGCATGGACACAGACAAGGGAAGAGAGCTAAGGGCCATACAACACACTAATACAGAAGAGAGAGGAATAATTATAAAGTTACCCTCAAAAGAGAATAAATGTATCTCTGAGGGTCCTTGAAGAGATTTTCTAAATAGGACGTCTTCATTTACCTTGAAGCAACTGTCAAGATAAATGTCGGACTGTGCGTGGTTTGAACACAATTGAGAGAAATGTATCAATCTGACAGAAGTTTAAAGAAGAAAATGTTTAATGGCACACAGAAGAGCATATTTATTTTCTGTGGAGTCAATGGTAACGATAGAAAAATTGAGGATTGATTGGTGGAACGCACAGTAGACTAGAAGTCAGTGGTGTGTGTTGTCCGGACACACTCCGCTGCTGCACTAAGCTGACCTCACACCAGGAGATAACTGGTCGATACCACAGTCCTCCCAGCCTATCAGCTCCCTCAGAGAGCCCATCCACAGATGCATCGTGGGAAGTGTGGCCACAGGAGACCAACAGTGTTGCAGCACCATATGGACTGTGACACCACGGGAGGAGGGAGAAAGAGAAGGACTTAGAGTGTGAAAGACAGAGGGAGAGAAGCAGCAGAGTTTTCTTCATCTTTCAACCAGATATTTTTGTAACTAGTGCGTGAGAGAGTGAGCGATGGAAACAATGTGTTATTAGTTTGAGCAGCTCGTAGTTTACAGGCAAGATGGTACACAGAAAGTTGCTTTTCTTTGACCAGTGGCGAGCCGTGACTTTTATACCTAGGCCCTCTGACCCCCCTTCCCTCGAGAAAAAAAAGAAGAGATATTACGTCACAGCGTATACTTCAGCAGAATATCAAAACAGCGGTCCGGGGTGCAAAACGCATCAATGACAGCGACCCTCTACCACACAAAACAACACCATATAAACACTTATCATGACAGGGCACCCACAGCCAAGTAACAATTACAAATGAATTAAGTCGGCACTCGGCACGGAAAAAATGACTTAGGCCTACCTTTGATGATAAATCACTGAAACACAAAGTCCATCCTCCTGTCCTTTTGGATGAAGCACTTGCGGGTCATTCAGCTGATCCTTTGCCACTCCAGTTTATCATTGTAACTCAATCTTGAAAATGACTCGGTTAATAATTTCACAACGATGTCCTCACTATCACTGAAGTGAGCCATCATGAACGAACTTATGCTAATTATAAATCTATCGATCATAAATCTATCGATCTATCAAAAATAATAAAAGTAAGGTAGACATGTGGATATTATCCGGCTGAACAAAACGTGCATTTATCTAACAGGTTCGTTTTCCACAGACCTTATTTCAAGCTATTTTCCAAAATCCTATGGAGAAATCCCATTGCTCTTTGTCGAGGGAATCCGAGCGAAGCTTACTTCCGGGTTTTAGGACACGTCACTGACCTCACAGCGGGCGGAACTTGTCATAAAGTCCGCGAAAATAAAGCCCGCCCATTTAGAGGGAAGATATGATTGGTCAATTGTACTGTCATTTGACATTACTCTCTCGTTGAGTTACTATAGCGGGCCCTCTGTGAATGGAGAGAGGGACCAACAAACCCTCCCGTCTTCACATAACTCGCAGAGACGGCATTTAACCCTTCACATTCCAACAGAAACTGAACAGGCAGATTCGAAGGATTTATTTCTTTGGAAATATTATTTTAAATACAATTAAATCAAGTTATTTTGGTAAAACCAATGAAATATGTAACAACAACAAAATATTTTTTTAAAAAAAACCTTTTTTTTTAATGTTTTCAAATATTATTTTTTAGAATATCTTAGGCCCTCACAGAGGGCCTAGAGGGCCCTGAGTGACTAGTGCTGCGTACTGGTACGCCGAACCGGTACTGGATTTGTAAAAAGTTTCGGTTCAAGTCCGGTTAAAACCGGAACGTCGGGAACCGGTACTTGGACTCGCAAAAAACTAGCACTTACGTATATTCTGGTGTCTGTGGTTATTTAAACATTCCCTGATAAACGTTATTCAGCGTCAATAAATGAGTGCTAATCCCAGTGTGCTCAGTGTACAACATCACATGTCATTTCACCTTCGATTCACGGTTTGAAAGCGTAGCATTTCGACACATGCTAATGATAACCGGAAGTGAATAATTTTCAGAATAAAAGTATTAAGTTGATAGTGTGAACTTCCGGTTTTTTCAGAATAAAACTGATTTAAATTAAATAGTGTATTTAATTCAAAATTACGCCATATCAACATTGATTTTAATTTCTAACAGTATGTATGTACATCACTATGTATGTAGTATGTACTGTATAATGTACACATGTAGAGTTGTAGAAAATACATGGTGTACAGACAGTACAGTACACTCTGACTCACTACAGTCACTACAGTGTAGTGGACTCAGGGACTGTTTGGTTACTTTAGTTTGGTAAATGAAATAAATGTTTGAACTTTGTAGTAGTTCACTGTAGTTGCTGTCATAAGTCATTTGTAGACTAAGTGGCAAAAAGTTTTTTTTTTACATTTGTACTTTGTAGAGAAATGTAGACACAAGTTGGAAGGGAGCACAATAAACCTGACGAGTTTGAATGTGAGTTGATTATGAGTTAATTTTCAATTGATAATTAGCTCACAATAAGTTCACTTTAGTTACTCACACAACTTGACACAAGCCATGGGTTCAGGTCCGGACTTATAAGTCCGGACCTGAACCTGAACCTCTGGACTTGAGTCCGGACCTGAACCTGAATGTGAGTCCAGGTACGCAGCACTAGCCCTGACGGCTCGCCACTGTCTTTGACAGAAGATGCTTGTGGTTTTATCAAATATGCATCTCTTTGAAGGGGATGTTTGATATTTTAATTCACTTGCAATATTAGATATTGATGATTGGGCCACACCATAAATTAATAATATGATTAACTGTGATTACATTATAATGATGTTGTTCTTTCGGTTAGGTGAGCATGAATCGTGTTGAGAAGTTCTCAGGTCATTCCAAAGCTTTTTTTGTTGCTTTAGTGGTTATTTCTTAACACAAATACAGGTTCTGTGTTGTGTAAATGCATATTGACTGGCCTAATGCCAGTCATTAGAGACAAAAGGGAGTGAGTCATACAAAAGCACAACTTCTGCAAACATGTGAACTCATTCTACTGTTGCTGAGTTTCTTTTGTAGCAGCTTTGCGTCTTACCTACAGCTTAGTTCACAATCCAGTGACATTTATCTTGATGATTGTCAATGTTGCTTCATTATCCTGCGCAAGCAAAACACTGCTCAGGCACAAATGCCGGCACCGTGTACACTTTTGCGAGTACATTTCTTTGGGCTGTTTTGGTAATTCTGAAAGATCATTTGCATTGAGTTATACGGTGCAAATTATAAAGAGTATTGCAGTCCTAAGGATGTTTTCCCCCGAGCCAAATTGAGGATTTTGGGATTTAATTATTGGATAACACTCTAAGAACACAAACACTTTGCTTTAATTATCAAACAAATATTCAGATTTATAATAGTCATACAACAGTATCAACATAACGGCTTTTTTCTCACTATATTTTCTAAATGTGAACATCAGTTCTGCTGCAGCTAACTCCAGTTGTAGCCTCCTCC